TAGAGCCTGAACGTCCTGATTCATTATCTCCATGACCGGACTCTTCATCAAAGAACTCCGAGGACGGCTCTGTGTCTGTGCTTCAGCTGGTGAGTTTACGTTTCTTAACGTAACTGCAGTTTAACACGTACATCGCGGTGAATTAAACTATGATCCATGTAACACTAACTTTAAGATATTGGTGTGTAAATTTATTTTATGGGTATCTATGTAGCTAGCTAAACTCAGAAGCTAACTAAAGATTGACAACAACATAAATCTTAGCTTGTAAAACTGCTCATCCATCCAGTCAGCTGCTTAAACATTTCACCAATGTTCACTGTTTATGTTCATGTTCTCTTCACAGGAGCCTCTGACCCAGATGTGAGGAGGACAAAAGAAAAGCGAGGTGGGGCCACAGGACCGTCAAACTTTGTTGTTAAAAGTTTGCTGCTTTTTCTACAGTGGTGCTGCATGGTGGAGGTAAATAAACTGTAAAGGATTTTGTTGACCAGTTAAGCTTTTATCTCTCAGCCTAGATATTTTTTTTGGGTAATAATAACACAACCATGTTATTGTTGTTTTGTTCTAATGTCAATTAGGGAGATGATCAGAGCCCTAAACCCCAGAGAATCACAGAGAAGATTCAGGAAGAGACACAGATGTCTTGTTTTTATGTAAGAAAACTGCTTGGAATAGAAAAATACCAAAGTTAAAAAATAAACTCACAATTTGTACTGTAATGTGTAACGTAATTTTATTCTTGTTAGAATTAATAGTAATTACAAAATTGGTACCGAAAAAAGAACCGTCCAGGAACCGACACCGAAGTGAAGGTACCGACATCGACACCGGCACCAATACCAATTTTTTTAGAAGGGTACCCAGCCCTACTCCTTGGTCATCCTGGCTGTGCGCTTCGGGTCATTGTCATGTTGGAAGACCCAGCCACGACCCATCTTCAATGCTCCAACTGATTGTATGGGGTGGACAGGTGTCTTTATGCAGCTAATGACCACAAACAGGTGCTTCTATTTTAGAATAAGTGGAGTGGAGGTGGACTTTTTAGAGGCAGCCTAACACGTCTTTGAGAGCCAGAATTGTTGCTGATTGGCAGGTGTTCAAATACTTATTTGCAGCAGTAAAAAAAACAAATAACTTATTAAAAAATCTTACATTGTGATTTCTGGATTTTTTTTTTAGATTATGTCTCTCAAAGTGGACATGCACCTAAGATGAAAACTTCAGACCCCTCCATGATTTCTAAGTGGGAGAACTTGCAAAGTCGCAGGGTGTTCAAATACTTATTTTCCTCACTGTATATAAGGTTGATTTTCCCCTTAAGAACCATCAATAAACATTAAGTTGAAGACATTAAAGTTCATGCTCAATCATCCAGGTACAAAATCCAATACTGGTCAGTCAGGTCAACATGGATTTTGTACCTGGATGATTGAGCATGAACTTTGATGTTTTGAACCACTTTGGCTGTGGCTGTCTGCCTGGGATGAGTCGACGGGGGACAGGACAGCCCCCAGAAACCATCTTATCACCAGCAAACTGGTTGGTCCACTAAAGGAGTGTACTGCTTAGTGGAGAAAACAGTTTACTTGGGACTCCTACGACTGATGAAGCCCTCAGGACAGAGGGCGAAACGTCTTTCCACAAAAAACAAACTGTCCAGTTGACCTGAATGACCATTAATGGCTTAAGACGAAGGGTTAAAACAGTCTTATTCAAATGTACACAATATGATGCTTTTGATGTCGATCAGACTTCACAATCTTGTTTGTAGTTACAGAAAATAAAACAAAGTTTTTGAGTTGCATGCATTCAGCTGGGACCTCTGCAACATAAAGAATAAAGATGAATTAATTGTGAAATAATTCTTTATTAGAGCATTGAAAAGGTTTGTTTTCTCGCTATACAAAATTGATTGGCAGTTGCTGGTGATTATGACTTCATAACTCTTTTCATGCCTGTGATGCTGGTAAGACATTTTCATCAGTGATCAGTGTTTAAACAGTCTGCGTTCACCAATATTTTTCCGCATAGAACGTCTATGTGTTGACGTTGGGAAATGACTCCAGCTTCTTAATATGAGCCATTAGCCTCTATTGAGCTACATATATACATCGCCTTCATCGTTATACCATGTTTTAATTTTCTAATAATTGGGACTGAGTGAATTCATTCTGTGACGATGACCCCTAAAGAGAACCAAAAACAATCTTCCTTTCACAACAACTGAGACATTCCTGTCCAGTCTCAGACCTGGGACAGTTTAACACCTTCTCAGCAACACTCCAGTCTGGACAATGTCCAAAAGAGACTTTCACTGTAGTAAAAACATTGATAAATCTGATAATATGTGAAAGCCCTTTCTGTGAACCCAAAAGTGAATGTTTTCAGTTTAAACAGAACACCAAAAAAGTTCTGGTAACAACCTGTACCAAGATCAAACCAAGCCACTATCCCTCAATTCATAAATCAGGATGATAACAGAAAGAACCTTGTAGGTGTTCAAAGGAATTCCTTTTTTGTGAACAGCCATGTTTCCCTTGCTGTATTCAGAAGGACTGACACAGACTCTCACCTCCTATTATGGAAAATTAAAAATGTTTTTCTGTAATGAAATAATTGTTTACTGGGAATAACTAATAACTTGCCTTGTTTTCTTTTACAGCTAACAGGAAACTGTTCTGTTCACAAGTTTAACAGAAGTGTTTTTATTGATTTAATTTCACTTAATGATAGAAGTGTTTTACTTTTTTTTTTATTTGAGGACTTCTCAGCAGAATGAATTAAGGTAATGCTTAATTTAGTTGGTAAAAGTTAAACCAAATTAAAAAGTCCAACCCTCTGTCCTGATTGGTTGAAATCAATCATGCACCTTCAGAGTTGTGGGTGGTAGTTGAAAAGTTGAAGGAGAGGGACCCTTAGAAGTGAGGAGTAGACAGACAGAAGAGAAAGAAGGAAAAGGAAAGACCTCTTAAGAGGAAGGTCGGAAAGAGATCTCCAAAGAAGTAGTAGTAGTAAGCTTTTAGAAGACAAACCTACAGAAAGCTTCATTATAAAAAAGAAAGTTTCCATTTTAGCCAAGTTTGATAGAACTATCTTCAGCGCTCCAGAGAGACCTGCAGCTGCATCACCAGAGCTAATAACAGCGACACAGAACTCCATAAGAAGCGTCGGCTGACCAGGCAGAACCAGTGATCAGACTCCTGATGTGCAGGGACGTGAAAGAAACATCCACCGTCATGTCACAGACCATCTACACAGAAAGACATTTAGAGAGTCCCACATTTGGTATCTGCGGCAGCCGTTTGAAGACTACTCCCAGTAGGAGAAAGCTGATTTACTCTGGGATGTGATGTCTGGTGTCCTTAAATTTAGATTTCAGCCAAATTAGTATTAACTCAGTTCAGTAATTATTTCCCTTAAATTTAAAACCCAAATTTAACCCTTGAATAAATGTAAACAATAGTTAAATTTGCATAGTTAATTTGCCCTGCTGAAAGTTTCAGAATATTACATTTAATTTTATTTATTCCATCTCGTTTTGGTTTGGGTAATGAGACCTAATAATTCCATTTCACCTGTTAATTTCTGCTAACAAATATTATAAAGGTCAAGTTAATTGCCATAAACTCTGGTTGTTAAACACAGCCATCATTTAAATGTAAGCAATAATTTCCAATAGTTATTTGCCCATATATAGCCAAATAAATGTCATAAAATTGTGTGTTTTGTTTATGATATCTGAATCTTTCATGCAAAAGAACTCACTGTAAAAAGGTTAATTCGAGGTCACCTGGATCGGAGACTACCTCACAGGTTGACCACAGTATGTGAGGCTGCAGAACACCACCTCAGACACCATACTGAGCAGCACAGGGGCTCCTCAGGGGACGGTCCTCTCACCATTTCTGTTCACCCCCTATACCTCAGACTTCAGGTACAACTCACAATCCTGTCATCTGCAGAAGCTTTCAGATGACTCTGCCATTGTGGGCTGCATCACTGGTGACCAGGAAGCTGAATACAGAGGTGTGGTGGACAGAACCACCTGCAACTCAAAGTTGAAAAAACTGAAGAGCTGCAGGTGGACTACAGGAAGAAGATCAGCCTCCTCAACACTATCAACATCAAGGGTACTAAGGTGGACACTGTGGACTGCTACAGTTACCTGGGGGTTCACCTAGACAATAAACTGAACTGGACAGCTAACACTAATGCCCTCTACAAGAAAGGGCAGAGTCGCTTTTTTCTTCTGAGAAGACTCAGGTTCTTTAACATCTGCAGGACCATGCTGTAGATGTTTTATTACTCTGTGGTCTCCAGCGTCGTCTTCTACGTTGTAGTGTGCTGGGGCAGCAGGGTGAAGAAAGCTGATGCCATTAGACTCGATAAACTCATCAAGAGCTGCTCAGTTCTGGGAGTGGACCTGCAGTCTCTGACAGAGGTGTCTGAGCAGTGGATGCTGAGGAAATTGCTCCAGATCCTGAACAACACGTCACACCCCCTGCACGACACCCTGGACTTTTACCGCAGCACCTTCGAGCGTAGACTGAGACCACCGAGGTGCTCCACAGATCAACACAGAAAGTCCTTCCTTCCTGTGGCTATCAAACTTTTCAACTCCTCCCCCTTTCTGCACATAGGACAATAAAATTTATCCTGTATTACAATAAACTTTTTAATGTTTCTGTCTGCACCTGTTTAGAACTTAATTTTTGGCATTTTTATATTCTCTGTTATTTTTTATATCTTGTGATTCTTGTGTATGTTCCTTTGTACTCTGGCACAATAATTTCATGCGAGATCAATAAAGTTCTAGTTTATCTTAAACAGTAACATTTATGGAGACTGACGTTCTCAAAGACTTTTCTCTCAAAGCTTTGGGAGTGGTGCCCCTTCAGAATAAAATTCTTCTTCAAAATTATCCCTATTCGCTACACCTCCTACTCAAAAAGTTACTGAGGAGGATGAAATCTGTCCTGAAAAGCAGCAGCTCTTACCAGTCATCTCCCACATTAAAAGCGTTGAGGCTCTTGGTGAAGCCCTGCATATTATTAGGACTGACTTTCTGCAGGAAGTCAATGTAATCTTCAGAGTGGAAACGACACATGTCATGCTGAGAAGCTTTGTACGGCTTGAAAACCTGGTCAGTAATTAAAGAGAAAAAAGAATTCATTGCAAAAGCACCAACAGGTTCTGAATCTGTGACACAAATACTCAATGCTGCTTACCATCATTTTCTTGTAGAGGCCGTAGTGTAACACCAGGCTGTGGGTGAGGGACAACCGGTGAGGCTTCATGGGGTGGCCAGCACCTAAAAGAGACACAGTCTATGTTGTTTCAGTAAAACTAAACATTTTAAGGTTCATTGTCATTCGCATCACATGTGGTATATGAGGTGAAATGAAATTGTGTACCCAAGGTCCCAGATACAACCAAAAATAGCTAAACATAAAATTAAGTATAAAAAGAAACAGTATACAAGGATCTAAGATACACAATAAACTAGGGCTGGGTACCCTTCTAAAAAAATTGGTATTGGTACCGGTGTCGATGTCGGTACCTTCACTTCGGTGTCTGCTCCTGGACGGATCTTTTTTCGGTACCAATTTTGTAATTACTATTAATTCTAACAAGAATAAAATTACGTTACACATTACAGTACAAATTGTGAGTTTTATTTTTTAACTTTGGTATTTTTCTATTCCAAGCAGTTTTCTTAAATAAAAACAAACAAACAATTTCCAGGTCAAAAGACCAGTTACAAACCAGTGACACATCAGTGTCTAATGTTCACTGCTACACACCGAGGACCTTTTCACTGAACAGTTTGTCTTCAGAAACATCAACATGTCTGTTTTCTCTGGACACAAACAAGATGCTCCTGGCTGATGGTGTCTCCAGCAGTAGAACATGTTCACTCTGAGGGTGTGGATGATGTTGTTGCACACACAGATACCTGGTTGCCAGTTTGATAGCACTGACACAGTGTCCCTCACATTCCACCAGCAGGTCACTGGACTCACTGAGGTTAGGGTTGATGCAGACATCTGCACCTCTTCCTGAATCTTCTCTGTGATTCTCTGGGGTTTAGGGCTCTGATCATATCCCTAATTGACATTAGAACAAAACAATAACATGGTTGTGTTATTATTACCCAAAAAAAATATCTAGGCTGAGAGATAAAAGCTTAACTGGTCAACAAAATCCTTTACAGTTTATTTACCTCCACCATGCAGCACCACTGTAGAAAAAGCAGCAAACTTTTAACAACAAAGTTTGACGGTCCTGTGGCCCCACCTCGCTTTTCTTTTGTCCTCCTCACATCTGGGTCAGAGGCTCCTGTGAGGAGAATATGAACATAAACAGTGAACATTGGTGAAATGTTTAAGCAGCTGACTGGATGGATGAGCAGTTTTACAAGCTAAGATTTATGTTGTTGTCAATCTTTAGTTAGCTTCTGAGTTTAGCTAGCTACATAGATACCCATGAAATAAATTTACACACTAATATCTTAAAAAGTTAGCGTTACATGGATCATAGTTTAATTCACCGCGATGTACGTGTTAAACTGCAGTTACGTTAACAAACGTAAACTCACCAGCTGAAGCACAGACACAGAGCCGTCCTCGGAGTTCTTTGATGAAGAGTCCGGTCGTGGAGATAATGAATCAGGACGTTCAGGCTCTACTCACAGGCTGACTTTAATGCTGAGACGAGGAGGAGGGGGTGGCTGCTGAACTCCTCTCTCCTCGCAGAAAAACACGAAGCAACTTTCTGCTCGCGTGTTGTCGAAGCCGTTAGACAACACGTGCTGCACACGTGAACCCGTCTGTGTGCGTCACCAGCACCATAGACATACATTATTCATAGATTAGGTGCGGCAGCTCTATACAGCTCTGGGTGTAATCTGGGTGTAGTGTTTGTCATATGTCTGGTGTTTTACCTGCCTGCATATTAAAACCACGTGACACGTTACAGCCAATACAGAAACTTGACACCGAAAGAAGAGTGACGTTTCAATACATACACCGACCGGTGCAGTTCGGTCGGTGCCATAAAAGAACCTTGGTTCGGTACTCAGCCCTACAATAAACACTAATAATGTAAAATCATATGGTATATTAAATAGCAGCCTGAAAAGGAGTCTGTATTGAGCAGATGGGTATGAATACAGCAGCTTAAAGGCAATAAATCAGCATCATGGATAATCAGCAGCACAGATAAAGTGACATATCAATTAAAGTGGCGTTACGGTGGGTGGGGGGGGGGGCGGGGTGTTACAGTGATTTTCCTGGTTATAGATTTATGAGTCTAAGCTTCAGGGTAGAAGCTGTACCTCAGTCCAGTGGTTCTACACTTAATGCTACGCAACCTCCTGCCTGAGAGGAGAGGGGAAAAAAGTGTGAGTGCTGGGTGAGTGGGGTCCTTCATGATGCAGGTAGTCCTCTTCCTGCATCTGGAGGTGTAGATGTCTGTGATGGTGGGAAGGCTGACTTAACAGACTTCTGTGTAGCCTTCAAAACTCTCTGCAGAGCTTTTTTTCTGCAGCTGTGCAGCCCCCGTGCCACACATTGATGCTGGAGCACAGGATGCTCTCCACTGCACACTTGTAGAAGGAAGTGAGGACTGAGCTTCCCAGTCCAGCTCACCTCCGTCTCCTGAGGAAGTAAACGTCGCTGATAGAGCCGAGTACCGAACTTTGGTTCTTTTATCGTACCGACCGAAATGCTTCGGTCTTTATTAGTATCAATATATGCCTCGACTTTCAGTGTCAAATTTCGATGATTGGCTGCAATGTTACATGCGGTTTCAACCATTTTGATCAATACGAGCGTAACTCTGGACCCCCCCCCCTGTGTGTCAAAAGGCATGGGGGACACAAAGTTATCTAAACGGTTCGTTTCGGAGCATGCTGAAGGGGAGGGGCCAGACCTCAAAGTTTGACAGCTCGCCATGAAAAACTAAACACTAATAGCTCCTACAAGAAAACTGAGACATCAAAAACCTTCAGTGATTGATCCACATCCGGTCCCCTGCAAGACTGAATGGTCAAACATCAAACATCACTAAAAAGACACGCCCCCTGACAACAGGAAGTATAAAGTTTTACATTGAACGATCCCTATCTGACCCATGTTACCTGATCAGCATGATAGTGTGTCCAGTGACTGAAGACATGTTGGTGCAACTTGCTTTCCAACACTGACAGTTTTGGGTGGAACATGTGGGCGGCGCGGCAAAGTAAGACGTAACGCCGTCGCCATACGTTTGGCGCTAAATTCCACAGTTTTGAACCGAGGTGCACCAAAATCAGTACGATCGATCATTGTCCACATCTTGAACAGGAAGCCATGATAAGTGGTCAATAGCCTCCACAGCGCCCCTTAGAATATTTTAAAACCTCAGCCCCAAGCCACTTTTTGACGGATAATTCTGAAACTCAGCAAACATCTGTATCTTCTCAGGACCTATGAAAAAGTCTCTTGGAGCCCTGGACCAAAACCAACAGGAAGTCGGCCATTTTGGGTCAAAGTGTCATTTTTGAGCTTTTCTAATTGCCAATTTTAATGAACTCCTCCTAGGAATTTGGAAGGATTACCTTCAAACTTGGTTAATACGCCCTTAAGACATTGGAGAGTAAAAGTTATCTAAAGCTTGCATTTTCGTATATGTTAAAGGGGCGTGGCCAGGCCTAAAAGTTTCGCTTCACGCCATAAATTTCCAAACACTATAACTTTCACATTGAAAGACGGAAATGCACGAAACTTGGCATGACACATTCCTGTTGGATGCCCGACGATCCAATGTGGTCATATTTTGACGTCATCAAAGCCCCGCCCCCTCAGAACAGGAAGTCTCTTTTTTAACTTGGAATACTCCCTCTTTGACACCAATGACCTAATCAGGATGATCCTGTGTTAGGAGACAAATAATATGGTCTGATTTGATTTAAAGCGCAAACTATTTTTGCTAGAGGATGTGGGAGTGGCGAATTAAAAAGTGACGCCATTGCAATACGTTTGGCTCTAAACTGCACAGATTTCAGCCGAGATGCACAAGGATCGATCATTATCCACCCCTTGAACAGGTATCCATGATAAGTGGCCAATAGCCTCCACAGCACCACCTACATTATTCCTACAATTATAGCTCAGTGATACAACATCCGATCTGCACCAGATTTATTGTACGTCATCATGTAGGACTTTTATACGCATTGATATTGTGGTTTAACATATGACTCTAGTGCGCCCCCTATTTATTCAAACTGTTATATCTCAATGATATATTATCCGATCTGCACCAGATTTTTGGTGCATGATCAGTGAGCACTTGTATATACATTTGTGTTATTTAACATTTGACTCGAGTGCGCCCCTAGATTATTCCAAAATTTATATGTCAGCGATATATCATCCGATCAGAACTAGATTTTTTATGCATAATCAGTGAGCACACGCCTAGACACATTGATATTGTGGTTTAACATATGACTCAAGTGCGCCCTCTAGATTATCTAATCAGTTATATCTCAGTGAAATATCATCCGAACTAGGCCAGATTTTTAGTAAGTAATTAGTGAGCACTTCTACACACACTGGTATTGTTGTTTAACTTTTGACTCAAGTGCGCTCCTAGATTATTCCAACAGTTATATCTCAGTGAAATATCACCCAATATGTACCAAATGTTATGTGACTGATCGTGAGCACTTATAGACACACTAGTATTGTTGATTCATGACATCACTTAAGCCCCACCTAGTCAGAGAAAAAAATGTTGATTACTGGATGACACATTGTATTATGAAATTCTTTATCAAAAGGGCTCGTGAAACGGTCGGCACATATTCAGACAAATGGAAAAAATGAAAGACTGAAGCTGTTACTGCTAGGATAAATTAGTGTCCTTTATTATCCTGCCACAGAAAACAGCCAAGCAAAAAACAAACATGTACACTCGTACACTCTTAACACAGATTGATATGAAATAACTTCTCACCGTGACACTGGCCGGGAAGTCGTTTTCGACCCAGGTAAAGGAGAATCACATCAAAATGGCGCGTGGCACCAGCGCGCGTCTGATCCATCACAGGACTTCCCAAGATTAAGTTGCCTGTCACACTTCCTTTATACCTTCCCTGACCGGATCGCGTGAGAGCATTCAAAACAAGTTTGATGGTTACCAGAACAACAGATCTAATTAAACCATCATCAAAGTGATGGCTCATCCTTCCAGTAAGGAGAGCCTGTGACCGTAAAAGCGGGCCAAAGCTTCCAGGTCAAGAGCACTCCTAATGCTTATTAAAGCATTCCTAAAGAGCACCCCTCCGTCCCTTCTGCAAACCATCAAAGAGTGTCTAAATATTATAAGCAACACACACACACAAAGTATATGTTTGAACAGGCATAAAGGCGACCCAACACCTCATAAAACATAATACAAAATACAATCCCTAATATGTGAATAACACGTTGTATAAGTGTGTTTAAATAAGTGTAATATAGGTCTAGATTGACATAAAAGCATTAAAATAATAATTTCTATATCATTCCACCCTTGCTTTTATGGCAATTTTAGACATTTAATTCTGAATAAGTAACACACACAATATATATATGTTTGAATAGGCATAAAGGCAACTTAATACATTGATACAAAACATATTTTTATTTCACACATCCAGCTTCACACTGTGTAAGATATTAGACTGAAACTTTGTTTGATAACTGCTGGTTACCACACATGAAATGTTGAAAAGCTTAAAGAAAGTGCTTGTCAAACATTTGCCACAAAACAGGAAGTCAGCGTAACTCCTGTCTGGAAGGTCAGATTCTGACTATACTTGTAAGACCTGCAGCTGTACAAGTAACGTCATGGACGGAAGGCGATCTTGAACATTCGGGAAATGCGCCCCATGGTGAACGTGTAAGGGATTGGCACAAGAGTATTTGCGATGGCGACTGGGTGGACTAGCTGGAGCTCCGGCCATCGCCGTAAAACCGGAGCAGCGCTTTACTGCGAGGGCCTCCAATGCTGCTTGCAGCTTTAATTAGTTCATGTTTTTCTTAGTTCATATCTTAGATCTTGTTACTGTATTTCTTTGACATTTTATTGTTGGATGTAACTGGGAACTTGTGTACACAATCTTGCTCCACCATATGTACCACATGTGGCGCGAATGACAAATAAAGAAACTCTGACTCTGACACCATATCTAGCACTGTAGGGAGACAACAGGACAAGATCGTCTGCATACATTAAATGATTTACAAGATGGTTACCCACCATACACCAGGTCTTACAATCATTTAGTTCAACAGACAAATCATCAAGGTACAAGTTTAAAAAGTTTTAGAATTGCTGGTATTTTTATATTCTGTTTTTTTTTATACATTCTATGTTATTTTTTGTATCTTGTGTGATTCTTTGTGTTTGTTCCTTTGTACTGAAACTCTGGCACAACAACTTCCTGCGGGATCAATAAAGTTCTACCTTATCTTCAGTCTTGTAACCAAGCCAACACAAAAAAATCAATAAAATGACTAAATGACGTGCCAAGATCATTTAAATTCATAAGTCGTACAAAACATAAAAACTAAACCCCTAAAGATAAGCGCTAAACAGTCTGAAAATGCATACATAGGTTCATCAAGGTACGACTTTAAACAAATAACAATGAATCGATCATTTTGAAAGCAACTAGCATGTGGCTAGCTAACGACTGCGCTTCTTCCAGTCTGTTTCACCAATAACCGCACTTACCGTAATGAAAGTTGCCCACATCCGGGTCATAAAAGTAAGATGTTCTGTTGGTCATTTTAAGAGCTACAACTCCTAACTTTATGTAAAATACTACAGTACTCCTATTCCTGCAGCGTTACCTGCTGCATATTTCTTTCATTAGTAGCCGAAACCACGGACGAGAATACGTCATCACTCTGCGTCAGTAAGCTTTTTTTTTTTTTTAAAGAAAACTTTATTTTACAAAAAACAAGTACAAACAAATATGGCAATTCACAATAGTGTAACTCTAAAAAGGGTATAACAGAGGCAGATTTCGATATGAAAAAAAAGAAAGAAAGAACGAGAAAAAGAAATAAATTAATATAAACTACAACAATGGGTTATATGTTTTAGGATTAGCATGCATTGGTGAGCAATTCCATGAACATTTCATACAGGTCGCCATGTGTTTCCATATATTTCAGATATTTCAAATATAACTGGAATTCAGATAAAAAAAATTAAATCTGAAGGATGATCTTAGCACTCTCTGTTTATGAATAAAGAATTTTGCAAAATATCAAACAAAATATCAGATTACAACCGAGTTCCATTTTTTTGTTTTTCAATAATACTCCAAATGTTATGTCTCTGGAAATAGATTCAGGAAATTTAATTTTCAGTACAATCCATCTTTCTAAGTGATTCCAGAATATTTTGGTTTTGTTGCATTCATAGAGGGCAGCACGGTGGCGCAACTGGTAGAGCTGCTGCCTCTCAGCGAGCAGGTCCCTGGTTCAAACCCCGGTCCAGGGGCCTTTCTGGGTGGAGTTTGCATGTTCTCTCCATGCATGCGTGGGTTTTCTCTGGGTACTCCGGTTTCCTCCCACAGACCAAAAACATGCATGTTAGGCAAATTGTCCCTAGGTGTGAGTGAGAGAGTGAATGGTTGTTTGTCTCTATGTGACCCTGTGATGGACTTGCGACCTGTCCAGGGTGTCCCCCGCCCCTCACACAGTGATTGCTGGACATGGGCACCGGCGACCCCCGTGACCCAAAATGGAAGAAGCGGGTAAAAGAAAATGGATGAACGGATGCATTCATTTTTTTTTTCATTTAGCCTTTATTTATCCAGGTTAGTCTCATTGAGCCACGAGAACTCATTTTCAAGAGAGACCTGTTTAGGGAGCACATGGTGGGGGTTAAGGGCCTTGCTCATGGGCCCAGAGTGGGGCGAATGAGGGTGGGGGCAAGTGTGGGTGTTTCACCTACCCCACCCACAATTTTGATGTTGTCGGGGCCGGGGCGCGAACCGGCGATCTTCGGATCACAAGCCCACCTCTCTAACCTCTGCGCCACCACTCCCCCCAATATTCTAAACAATGTTTCTAAACTCCAAATGCTCTAAAAGAACACAGAATGTCATGAGTTCAGCTCCCTGCCTCCTCTGCTCTTTGCCACCTGCAGGCACTTTTGGCCATGCCCACTTCTCCACTCTGCATGCTTAACAGCTGATCAGCTGTTCGGCTGCAGCAGGAAGTTTATCCTGCAGCAGTATGGGCTGCACAAAGCCGCAGCAGGAAGATTTTTCTGCAGCTCTGGGCTGCACAAATGTGCAGCAGGTGCTAAATAATTTAAAATTTATTTTAAATAAAAATTTCATGCCGATCGTGTGGCTCATCCATCAATCAGCCAATTGTGTGTCATGTCCAATGTTATTTTGAAAAACTGCAATAGAGAGGGTCCACGATAAACGGAACTGCAAAGTAGCGAGGGCCTACTGTATAAGACAAGAGCTTGTCATTTTACATTTAAGCAATATCCCATGTTATGATGTCTGGTAAAAGAAGGCCACAAGAAAACAAGTTTCGGTTTTTCAGTCAGTGAGTGCTAACTTTATGCATTCTTTAGCTAAATAATGTCAGGGTAATGTGGAGTTACAGTGGACATCCATTGCTAGTTATACTTAGGATTAGTCTGGTATCATTCATAACATTTGAAACAGGCATCTAGAAAAGCTGGAAAGAAAATGGTGCTCCACTAACATGGAATAATTTTATTTAACTTGGAGAGATAGTCTGCTAACATATAAGAAAGCTCTTCGTAAATCTAGAACTTTATATTATTCATCTTTAATACATAAAAATAACCCTAGGTTTCAGTTCAGTATTATAACTAGACTAACGGAAAATTCTGTCTCTGTTGAGCCATGTATCCCTACAACTATAAGCAGTAATGACTTCATGAAATTCTTTATAAATAAAATTATTTCAATTAGAAAGAAAAATCACACCATCCTTCCTTCAACTACCCCTGATCCCCTGTGAGACCTCTTTAGAAATGTTACTAGAACCTGATTTGTGTTTGGACTGTTTTTGTCCTTTCCACTGTTGCCTTTGTGCTTGCTCAGGATGGGAGACTGTGACGAAGTGATGATTCAACAAGTGCTGGCTTCCTTCCTTCCATAGATAGAGAACTTTACTAATTGGCTTTTGTATGTACAGTATATGAATGTTTTTGTACAGTGCCCTGAGACAACTTCTGTTGTGATTTGGCGCTATGTAAATACAAACCGGATTCCAAAAAAAGTTGGGACACTAAACAAATTGTGAATAAAAACTGAATGCAATGATGTGGAGATGGCAAATGTCAATATTTTATTCATAATATAACATAGATGACAGATCAAAAGTTTAATCTGAGTAAATGTAACATTTTAAAGGAAAAATATGTTGATTCAAAATTTCACAGTGTCAACAAATCCCAAAAAAGTTGGGATAAGTGGCTGGAAAAAGGAAATTGAGCATATAACAAACAGCTGGAAGACCAATTAACACTAATTAGGTCAATGACAACATGATTGTGTATAAAAAGAGCTTCTCAGAGTGTCTGTCTCCCAGAAGCCAAGATGGTAAGAGGATCACGAATTCCACCATTGTTGAGCAGAAAGATAGTGCAGCAATACCAGAATGGTGTTACCCAGCACAAAATAGCAAAGACTTTTAAGTTATCATCATCAACCGTGCCTAACATCATCAAAAGATTCAGAGAATATGGAACAATCGCTGTGTGTAAAGGTCAAGGCCGTAAAACTCTACTGGATGCTCGTGATCTCCCGGCCCTTAAACGTCACTGCACCTCAAACAGGAATGCCACTGTCAAAGAAATAACAGAATGGGCTCAGGAATACTTCCAGAAAGCATCGTCAGTGAACACAATCCACCGTGCCATCCGCCGTTGCCAGCTGAAACTCTACAGTGCAAAGAGGAAGCCATTTCTAAGCAAGCTCCACAAGCTCAGACGTTTGCACTGGGCCAGGGGTTATTTAAAATGGAGTGTGGCAAAATGGAAGACTGTTCTGTGGTCAGTTGAGTCACGATTTGAAGTTCTTTATGGAACACAGGGACGCCATGTCATCCGAACCAGAGAGGACAAGGATAGCCCAAGTTGTTATCAACGCTCCGTTCAGAAGCCTGCATCACTGATGGTATGGGGTTGCATGAGCGCTTGTGGCATGGGCAGCTTGCATGTCTGGAAAGGCACCATTAATCCAGAGAACTATGTTCAGGTTCTAGAACAACATATGCTCCCATCTAGACGTCACCTCTTTCAGGGAAGACCCTGCATTTTTCAGCACGATAATGCCAGCCCACATTCTGCAGCAATCACAACATCATGGCTACGTAGGAGAAGGATCCGGGTACTGAAATGGCCAGCCTGCAGTCCAGATCTTTCACCTATAGAGAACATTTGGCGCATCATAAAGAGGAAGGTGCAACAAAGAAGGCCCAAGACAATTGAACAGTTAGAGGCCTGTATTAGACATGAATGGGAGAGCATTCCTATTTCTAAACTTGAGAAACTGGTCTCCTCTGTCCCCAGACGTCTGTTGAGTGTTGTAAGAAGAAGGGGGGATGCCACACAGTGGTAAAAATGGACTTGTCCCAACTTTTTTGGGATTTGTTGACGCCATGAAATTTGGAAACAACAGATTTTTCCCTTAAA